TCGCTCTGTCACCAGGCTGGAGTGCAGTGGCATGATCTCAGCTCATTGCAACCTCTGCCTCCTGGATTCAAGTGACTCTCCTGCCTCAGCCTCCCGAGTAGCTGGGATTTCAGGTGTGCACCACCACATCTGGCTGATTTTTGTATTTTGAGTGGAGTTGAGGTTTCACCATGTTGCTCAGGCTGGTTTCGAACTCCTGGCCTCAAGTGATCCACCCACCTTGGCCTCCCAAAGTGTTTAAAGGCATGAGTCACCACGCCCAGCCCCATTAAAATCTATACTGAGTATCCAGTGTTTGGCACAATGCCTGGGACACAGTATACACTTAGTACAACTGTATTAAATATTAACTTGAGCAAGCCCTTCTCCCTAGACTTCACTGTCCTCCTTTGAAAGGGGGAGGAGAATATATACGTGACCAAGAGAAACTTTAATTTTCTTTTGATTTCCCATACCTCAGGTAAATGAAACTCTTTCCTACCTCAGGGCCTTTACACTTGCCAATTTCTTTGCCTGAGATGAGTACAGTCTACCCAGTAGATGGGTAGCCCTTCTCTTCTCATTCTTTAGATTTCAGTTCAAACATCCCTTCCTCAGAGAAATCTTTCCTTAACATCTATCCTAATGTAAACCCTCCAGTTGCTATTATATCACCTGATGTATTTCCTTCATAGTACTTAGAATCTCAGGCTGGTCTTGAATTCCTGGCCTCAAGCAATCCTCCTGGTTCAGTCTCCCAAAGTGCTGGGATTACAGGTGTGAGCCACCACACCTGGCCTGAAATTGAACTATGTGTTATATTAAATGTTTAAGTCTACTGACTTTGAGTTGTTTCTCCTCACTCCAATAGCCTTCATTTTCCTGCAATTCTTCAGCACAAGTTCCAGCTTTCAAGGAAGAATTTTCTAACCTCTACAAAAGCAACCGTAATTTCCCTTTTCTAATTTCTTACAACAGAGTTTATATTACATAATCTACCCCCTTTGGTTTTAAGGTCATCCTACATTTATTTATTTATTTTATTGCATTTTAGGTTTTGGGGTACCTGTGAAGAACATGCAAGATTATTGCAAAGGTACACACATGGCAGTGTGATTTGCTGCCTTCCTCCCCTTCACCTATATCTGGCATTTCTCCCCATGCTCTCTCTCCCCAACTCCCCACCCCCCGCTGTCCCTCCCCTATTTCCCCCCAACAGACCCCAGTGCATAGTGCTCCCCTCCCTGTGTCCATGTGTTCTCATTGTTCAACACCCGCCTGAGTGAGAACATGCAGTGTTTGATTTTCTGCTCTTGTGTCAGTTTGCTGAGAATGATGGTTTCCAGGTTCATCCATGTCCCTACAAAGGACGTGAACTCATTGTTTTTGATGGCTGCATAATATTTCATGGTGTATATGTGCCACATTTTCCCTGTCCAGTCTATCATCGATGGGCATTTGAGTTGGTTCCAGGTCTTTGCTATTGTAAACAGTGCTACAATGAACATTCGTGTGCACGTGTCCTTAGAGTTTCACTCTTGTTGCCCAGGCTGGTGTGCAATGGCTTGCTCTTGGCTCACTGCAACCTCCGCCTCCTGGGTTCCAGCAATTTTCCTTCCTCAGCCTCCAAGTAGCTGGGATTACAGGCATGTGCCACCACACCTGGCTAATTTTTGTATTTTTAGTAGAGACAGAGTTTCTCCATGTTGGTCAGGACGGTCTCGAACTCCAGACCTCAGGTGATCCACTGCCTCAGCTCCCAGTGTGCTGGGATTACAGGTGTGAGCCACTGCACTCAGCCCCTACATTCTTATTTAATGTTTCTAATGAAGTTCATAATCATCAATTTGCTCCGAATCTTTTATTCAGTCACTCACTCAACAAACATTAATTGAGCACCTATACATGTGCCAGGAACAGTGGCTTAATTGTTTTTGCCAGGCACAGTGGCTCACTCCTGTAATCTCAGCACTTTGGGAGGCTGAGGCGGGCAAATCACCTGAGGTCAGGACTCAAGACCAGCCTGGCCAACATGGTAAAGCCCCATCTCTACTAAAAAAAAAAAAACAAAAAAAAGAATAATTGTTTTCTACCTCATTTATAACCCACAGGTTAGAAAACAATGATTATTGAATATATCTGCGGACGTTTATTAATATATGTATGTGTCTTCAATTAGTTCTGAAAGAGCTTTGAGGTTGAACTATTAGTCACAGGTTGAGTGAAAAACTGCAGAAATGGAATGATCTCCATGAGCCCTCCCATGAAGAATCCTGTCTTCTCTTCCAGATTCCATCTCCCAAAGCAAACCTGCTCCCCTTAGATGGACTTAATGATAGGGGCACCATTCAGGCGGGGCATGAATCACAGGATGCAATGGAAGA